GTGTTTTGCAACTATCAGACAAGTTGAGTATCAGGCTCTGTTCATCTCCCCACAAACCAAAAAAGACAGGAACACTCTCTGCATAATCAGATGATCACCACTAATCCAGGGCTCTTGGGAAAGGTTACCTGTGCTTCATGCTTGTGGGACTAAGTGACCTGAAATCATTCCTCAGAGGTAGGTTAGATCTGGAGGGGGCAAACCTATTTGTGCCATGTGAGGTGCTGTGTAACATGGAGCTGTGCTTCCAGCAGCATCAGGCAGCCTTTCCCAGATCCTGCCTCCTGCACGCTCTGTCCTCCCAGCAATGGAGCTTCATCTTCACTAGCTCATCCCAGAGCTGGTTCTCGGACCTCCATCTTCACTAGCTCATCCCAGAGCTGGTTCTCCTCTGCTCCCTTCCCTAGGGAAGATGTCACATCCAGCACCCATCAGCTTCCCTGGAGGGCACTGCACAACCCGAGACAGCTCAAGTCCCATCAGCAGCCTCAGCGTATCCATGAGGAAACGCAGGGGATGGGCCAGTGGTCTCAACTGCTCATTTGGAGCTGTAATTGCCTATAAATGCCTACATACTTTCAAAAAAAAAAATGTTGCAAAGCTTAATGGGAACAAATATTCCCGGGGGGTTGTATCCTGCCATTCATTTGCACATCAGGCCCCTGCTATCTTTAAGGCTGGTTCTGTGCATGGGCAGGCGCCTAAGTCATTTGGAAAACAATAACCCTCTGTGCTCTAATTTCTCAGAGAAAAATGTAGACAAAACAAGTGGCAGTTTGGCACAAACCGAACTGCAGAATTTTCTTTGATAAATAGCTGAGTATTTAACAGGAGGAGCCTGCAGGCAGCTGGGGGATCCGCCTGCCTGATCTGTCCTCGGGCAGGCATTGGCAAGTTGGAGGAGCTGTGCTCTGGCAGGGGCTGTGTGCTGCATTTGGGCATCTCTCCGGGTCAGTCTTCACCCCATTCCACAGCTGGGAGGACGTCCAAGGAATCCCTTAAGCATCCTTTAGGGTTTGCTGGAAACCAGCCTCCCTGTCCTGGCAGTTCATTGCCTGCTTCTGGAGGACTTGGCTGTTGTAATGAGCTCAGGGGGATTAACGGGGCACGGCAGGAGGCTGAGGACCAGTCGGGTGTGTTTCGGTCTCTAACCCAGGGAAAGGTGATGTCTCCTCTCGTAATGTGCCCTCTTGGGGAGTGCAGAACCAGCCACAATATTTTCTTAGCAGAGAGAGAAACAAATCTGCTCTGGCTGCTGTGCTGGTGCTGGACCATTTCACCTGGGGGCAATTAAGGGATCTCCTGCCCTTGCCATTAATCCCCTGCCCACCCAGGCGAGCTGGTCTCGGGGCGGGGGGGTCAGGGACTTTGTGTCCTCGTAGTGTGGGGGCTGCAGACAGGGCCGGAGGGGGCCAGGGGGGCTCAGCCTGCTGAAGGGGGCTGCAGGTAAGGCTCCTGAGATCCGTGCCGGGGCAGGGATCCCCCACAATCCCATCTCCTCTGGGATCCGTGTGGCAGCGACAGCACATGGGGCACAACACCAGCGTGTCCCCCCACCCTGGGCTGGGCTTTTCCAAGGGGGGTCCTGCTCTGTCACTGCACATCCCCGCAGGACCGGGCTTCCCTGGGGGTTCCTGTCGTGTCCCTGAGTGTCCCCGCAGGACCAGATTTCTCCAGCAGGTCCTGCCCTGTCCCT